ATCAGGATGTAGTAATGGGCAAACAGAAAAGATAAATCTCAGAATTGCCATCATTCAGTCAACACTGTTGCATTGACACTGCCTTGCCTACATAAATTGGCTATCATAAATACATCTTGATTTAGCCTTTTAAAAAAACTATATCTACTTGAGAGATTTCCTGGCTTTATATGAACTTGTCCAGAAGTAGAAGTAGCCTTTTAAAGCTGTTCCTGCTTTTTGATGTCTATGTGTTAGGCCCAAAGGAGAAGATCTTCTCTTACATTTTTCTCAAACTGAGAATATTCTTAAGGATCACACTCAGCTTCCATACTTTCTGTTTTTGGGAAAGGCATCAAAAATTGCTTTAAACAGTCCTTTTTAGTTTAATCTACTTCAAATTGCTCTATTATCAGGGGTTGGCAACTTTTTTCTATGTATGGTCCAGAGTCCATGTATCACTAGTATCATTTCCAAATTGTTGTTCTGGCCATGTTGAAGCATCCAGTAAAACTGTTACCAAGATGGTCACCCAAGGAGGTGCTAGGTGCTTTCTCTCCTGCAGGCTGGGTAAATATATTTATTTGGATGACCACAGGCAAGACAGTTTCAAGGAACACGTCACATCCACCCTATAAGACATAGGTGGCTTATCCCGGCTCTATATGGTACTTTAAGGAGGTGGTGCTGTGGTTAGAATGCAGAATTGCAGCTGACTGCCCAATGCCAGGAGTCTCATCCTGACTTGCTTCATCCATCCTTCCATCCTTCTGAGATCAGTAAAATGAGGACCCAGATTGTTGGGGGCAATATTTTGACTTTATAAACCACTTACGGAGTGCTGTAAAGCATTGTGGAACAGTATATAAGTCTAAGTGCTAGGACTATTATTCAATTTTTATAATATTAACATTTTATTGCTATAATAGTTCCTTGAATGATCTAACAACAACAAAAAAAGATACAAATATAACACAATAATTATACTATGCTATAGTTCATTTGCTCGTTGTTTTTACATTTCTCTTTCAATTTTCCATCTCAAAATGGCTATCAGAAATACATAAACCCTTGAACATAATTAAATGGCACAAATAAATATTGGAATCAATCTAAGGGAAATGAAAAGATCTAGTTTCCACGGCGAATCTTAAGTCCATTTCCAAAAGACAGAGACTGGGAATCAAACACCAGTTCCTAGAGATTGAACTACACAGTTAGGGAGCCTTCTTATAAATGCCCAATAAACGGGATTCTGAATGCAAAGGCATTTTTAAGAGGACCTTGCCTGCAGATCTTAATGCCTGAACAAGTTTATAATGACAGAATTATGCCTTAAGCTATTTCAGGCTTAAATCAGCACATTAAATTGTGTCCACAAAACAATTGGAAACATATACAGATTGCCCAGTTCAGGCATATGATCCTAGTATTGTCACCAGTGAGCTGTTTTGTTGCTGAATTTTGCACCAATTGAAGTTTCTAGATATTTTTCAAAGGCTGCTCAAAGTAGAACAAGTTGTAATATTTTTATCCACTGCTTACTGAACATGCTAGAAACTTTACAGATAAGCAAAATAATTATGGCTTGTTTAGCCAATGATAACTTCAGTCTTAACTGGTTTTGCCTTGCGTTTCTCTGCATTGATTGGAAACCTGAATGGGGCACAGAAACAAATCAAGAGTAAGCTAAGACACCACAAACCAACCAGCCATCCTTATTTTATATCTTCCAAAGAAAATAGCAGTTAGTAAAAAAAAATAACAAACCCTAGTTTCAAACTGTGGCTTACAGTCATACCCTCCACTCCCTTCATACATCTCATCAACCTAAGACCATATTACTCACTGCTCACTGTAGTATGTGAATTTAGTGATATGTATTCAACTGCCTCTTTCCATATTCACAGAGAGCATTGCTTGAAATGGGTTTTATATCCTCTTCATTTTAATAGCCTATTGTGTTTAACTTTCCTGCAGGGCAATACTTCTACTGACAAGGAGAAAAATTAGTTTTCACAAAATAAAACTGCATTATGTTCAGAAAAATAGGTTTTTTTAAATGCAAAATCTTCTTGAAATGCAGACCATTCCCTGTTTCCCAAGGGTTCACAGTCAAGCGAACTATTGTTATATAATTAGAGGGTTGAATTAGGACTGGAAAGATCCAAATTCTAAATCCCAGGTCATTGGCTGACTTTGAGTCAGATATAACCTCAAAGAATTGTTACAAATATAAAAAATAAATGGAGATAACTGTGCATATGACTTTAAGTAATTAAAGAAAAGGTGATATAACAAATAAAATATATACAAAGCTAGAAACATTTGGAAGACCCTTTCAAATGGAAACAAGAGATGGACATCAAATTAGAAAAGTTGCTGCTGCATCCAATGTGGGATTAAAGTAGCTGTCTCTTGACAAGTGTCTCTATGATCTTTTACAGATTCAAATCTAGAAATGTCTACACCTTTGCCAATTTTCCCCATTCTCCCATCTCCAACTGCTTCTGAGAATAAAAGCTGAAGGTTCATTAGAAGTCTTTCAGTCTAACTTCCTCCACATAAAAAGGAATAAAAATTGTTGCCATTGGTGGAAAAATAATTCAAAATTAGTAACAGCCATATAATAATTTTGAACGATAATGTGCACAGCAAAAAGGGTATTGTCAATTTATTGGTTAGTTTTGTAAGGAACCTTATTTTCATATGGAAATAATTTAAGTACTAGATGGTTTAATGCAACTATGTAAATAAAAATTAAAACAATAATACTTTTAAAACTTTGTATAAAATATTGCATGAAATAAATGAGAATGCCTTACCTATCACATATGTCTTGCAGAGTAATCCTAAACCCATTTATTGGAAAACAAATCCAATAAATTCAGGATATTAAGTAAAATGTTCATAGGAATGTAGCCTGAACGTTACACAAATTAATTTTGGCATTAAGCCAAAATCTGGTTGACTACTTTAGCCACAGAAATAAAGCATTAAAAAACAAAAAGAAACGAAAAACCCACATTTCCTTCACTTCTACTCAAAGGATTTTCAAGACACTTTGACTAACCCAGGCAAATACGTAACATCTCAGATACCGATCAAAATCTGTATTTTGAACCATTGTCCTTCATACCAGACTTGAATGGGCACACCTACTTTAATAATGAATAAAGTACTACATGGAACAAAACCACCTTCTAAAAGTTCCAGGAGGTGATGCAAAGGATTAAACCTTTTCATCTTGTTTTATCAAATCAAAATCATCATCGCTCTTTGCACACAATCTTGAATCAACTGACAGTTATTATGCATTAAAAGAAGTTCCAAAAGACTCCATGGAGAGGCCACCTTATTTTGAATGATCTAGCCCTCTTGTACTGACCATGAAAAGATAAATTTCTTCGCAATGAACAGTGTGTGTGTGTGTGTGTGTGTGTGTGTGTGTGTGTGTGTGTTGGGGAGGAGACCAATACATCACTGCTATATTAGTCATTTTCTAATTATGGAACTTTATGTATTCCACTCTCAACTTTCAAGACAGTCAGTCCTTTTTCACCAACCAGCTTTCTCATATTAAGAATTTGTCAAGTTCCTTTTCCTGCTAAACTGAATCCTGTTGTTTTCTGCTTCCCTCCCTCATGCTTTTGTCTTTCCCTTTTCCTCACCAGTAGCCCAGGACAGAAACTCCACAACAGGACTTTTGTCCCAGTGCTAGAGATGATCTTCTTGTGCATGATAACAATGTGCTGCACAGGCTCAGAAGTAAGTTCAAGATACAATCTGTTATTCCTTATCTTGAGACCCAGCCCACTGCAAGATCCTGGCCTTCTCCCTTTAGCATTGGTAGGATCTGCAGCTACCAGGAAGCTCAGAAGGAGCCAGTAACAATTGCCATAAGGAAGACGCAGTCATAGGGAGGTGCTGGGAGGGAAGATGAAGCCTGGGCAAGATTGTCTAACTTCCACCTTGCACCCATTTGAAAATGGGGAAAGGAATACAAGAGAGGCCACTGTAGAATAGAGTGTTATGTCTGCACACACAACAATCTCAGAATCACAATGTGTCCTTTAGGATTGGCGTGTTAGAACTTCAAAAAAAATGCTAATGTTATTTATTATGAACATTCTTAAACAGTAGGCTTTATTGCTTATTTCAAGATACCTCTATGTACAACCTAAAGTTTTTCAAAGAATTTTGACATCTTTAATAAAGTGAATTTTGATTTTACTCTTATTTGGGGATTTAAGGAAGTGAAATTCATAACATTTTATCATGGAGTGGAATATTTTATGCCACATGTACATACAACCTAGTGGAAAAACAAAATAATATTTTTACTTAAAATCACTTCCTCTTACTGGGGGGGGGGATATTCCTTTCCCCTGCATGCTCCCTTCTACAATATGCTTATTTTCTAATTCTAGAATCAGGGTGTTTTTAATCCGTCCCTTTGCTTATGCCCCCCCCCCTCGTTCCTCACCATCTTATTTCCCCCCCCCCCGTTTGAAATAAAGAATTCCTAAACTCCATCTTTTACATCTTTCTATCCCAAAATACACATGCAGAAGTGCTAAGAAAACGGGAAGAAGATGGCCGTTTCTGATCCAATATAAAAGCTCTTTTGTTGCATTCACATACAAAAGCCAAGAATCGCATTTCATATCTAGGCCCTGAAGGACATGAAGGCATTGGTCCTCCAGTTGCATAGCGCAGAAGTAAAGCTCTCCCCAAAGTTTGGGAAAGTTACACAGAGAACCCAGAGCCAATTATTTCTTTTTTTAAAAAAGAGAGGGGGGTTGGAAAAGAGATTGGGGAAGTTAGTGGAATTCAATAGCTCTCCTGTGGGTTCTATTTAACCCCTGTATTCCTTGTATAAAGGAGGAAATGTAATCGCAGTGCGTCCACCACCGAGATCGTGTTTTGTTTTGTTTTTTTCTTTAAGGGAAAGAAAACACAACCAACCAGTTGATCCGTTCAGGAGCAGCAAAAGTAGCAAGCTGGCTGTGATCACTTACTTGTCCGTCTCTTGTGACATGTTTGATCCAATGAACTCTCTCCCCTTTTCCAGATGCCTCAGTCTCTCTGGTGAAACTGGACTTTCAAGTCTGTGCAGGTAAAGGTGTGTGTGTGTGTGTGCGCTCGCGTGTGAGAGCGAGCGAGCTCCCGGGACGGCAGAACCAGAGCTACTGGTAATTCTGCTTTTCTTTCCCCCCTCTACTTCTCCCTCAGCCAGCCGTAGAGGTAGGAGTGGGACAGGTAAAGCCCCCTTCTCCCCGCCCCTCGCATGTGGGAAGAAGACTGGCTGGCCTTTTTTCTTTTGCACTCCCTCCCCCCGCGGTTTAGGGCACCGAGCAGCCAAGCAACAAAAGCTGAAGGCGCCTACAGGTAACTTTCCCAAGAGAAGCTGGATTCTTTCACTCAAGGATAGCAGGCAAGAGGGACGAGCCGCGAGCTGATTGGGTGGAGCGGGCCTTCAGGTGAGCAGCCATTGGAAGAGGCGCGCTCAGGTAAGGCCCTGGCTTAGAACTCGGCGTGATCGCGCCTCTGGGAAGCAGAGCTCTGGCGGTTGAAGGAGCGTGGGGTGAAGGGCGCGAAATTGGGGGCAGGCAGAGAGAGAGAGAGAGAGAGATCAAGAGAAGCTGAATGGGACACTGGGGTAGCAGGGCAGGTGAAGCCCGGCAGAGGAAGCCGCGGGAGGCCGAGCTGCCTGGCCGAGGGCGCGTGAGGAGGTTGCCGCTATTCCCGCAAATGAGGGTGGAGGAGAAGACAGACAGAGCAAGGGAGCCGCAGGGTTGCCTGGACTTGAGCTGGGACAGGAGTTGCGGGGAACGACAAGGGCCTTTGGCTGGCGGCTGTTTTCCGAGTCCTGAAGTCACCCCGCTGCCCGCCTATAACCTCGCGCCCAAAAGGCAGGGAAGTCAACCTGGAGTCCAGAGGGAGAGCACCAGGCGCTGCCCGCCCTCTGTGTGGACCTCGGCAAGAAGTTGGGGGATAGAAACGGCCACCTTAAGCCGCCTTTTTTCCCATAATACTTTTTTTATCTGTTACATAAAGGGCCGTTATTGTGTTTCGAAGTTCCGTGGGTTTTAAACTGCCGCGACAGGATTTGCAGGCCTGCCTAGGGCCATGAAGGGGCTGACTTAAATTAAGACGGCTTCTTCATTGCACATCTCACTTTGTTCGGATTTGCTTAGGGGGCTTTAGCTAGATGGAGCTAGATGGAGAGAAAAAGGTCAGCCGCATCCCCTTTGCTTCAACTGAAAACTTTCAAACTGCTTCCTTGGGTAAGAAGAATAAATATGAATTGTGTATTTTCTCACCTCGGTGCTGTAATGTTTGCAGTATTTATATCCTTTTGCCTTACTGCCTGACTTCATTCCTGCAAGGTGTGTGATAAATTAGAATTAGTACACACTATTTTGCTTTTTAAAAAGTAAGTTCAGGAGTGGAAATGAACAATAATAAATATCCAGTCCCTAGAGCTTGGATGGATCCTTCATGTTTAGTTCTTTGCATTTGTTTATCCTCTGGTACTTCCACAGAGAACAATCTGTTGTTGGTAAGTATATCGTGGCCTAACAGTGAAATGCAAGGTTTTCCCCATTTTCCAGGAAAGACTATCTAGTGTTTGCTACAGACCCTGTCAATCAATGGTGGAAATAAGCAATTCAGTCTGCTATTTTATGTATGCTTATTTGAAAGTCAATCCCTCATAACACTCTGAAAGTGATACCTATGTAAGGAATTTGGCCACTCAGCTGTGGAGAGGAAGAAGAGTTGAACAGATAAAGATTTTAGGAAAATGATCTCTCTCTTTTGATGTAACAGATATGACCATCTGATAGTTATCATTTAATGGGCTAGTAAATAGCTCTTGTGCCCCTATTAGCTTTTATGGGGTAGTAAGAAAGTAACAATGGAATTTACAGCTGTACAATGGGGTGATAATCACTAGCTTCATGGCTTTCAAAAAAAATAGGTGCAATAGATGACTTCTGGAGGAAAAATTGGTCAATTATTGCAAAGATAAGTATATAAGTTGCTGGGACCAAAAATAGGAAATGGAAGCTTTTTGGATGTTTTCAATGGGCAATGTAATCTTAAATTAGATGGCTTTTTATTTCAAATTAAAACTTAATTTACAGAACTTTTTGCAATCAAGTTCTGCTGTTTTAAAAAAATTTTTCCAAATAACACGTTCAGAATATAGCCATGAATTGGGAATTAATATCGTAATTTTAAATACAGTATGGAAATACAAGATACATATTAGCTTAAAAACTGAATCTTGGATCATACTGTACATCAAAAAGGTTCTGTCCAATGTCATATTTATTACTGAATAAGCCCTATTGTGAATTAATTAGACCAAATGTTAAGAGAAACCAAGATTTTATCCGTTGTCCAAAAAATAGAAAAGAATGCGATGCTTACAAAAGCAACCAGAGTAAATATGTAATCCTAAATAGAGTTTGAATGGAATAAACAAGAAAAATAGAGTGGGATTTGCTAAAGAGCAGGTCGTATACTTCATTACATTTGAAACTCAATGTTTCTATACTTTCACTTTGGCTATTTCCTTTCTCAAACAGATATAATTCTACTGTAAAAAAAAAACAAGGTAAAAGCAACTGTTTCTATATCAATTTAACGTGTATGTAGTTTTTTCCATTTAATAATAGCATTGTTTGGGTTTGCTGTTTAGGGACAGAAAAACATATTCAAACGGTTTAATGAGAGTTACAAAATATAATTACAAGTACATAAAATTATGTGTTCTAGAAACATCTAAAACAAATTTATGGGATAAAGATGCCAATAGGTTGTATTTGTATCAAAGCAATGCTGCTAATAAGTACAATAGAAAGAAAACAGATGTTTGAATAACAGTTCTTTTAATATAGGGGAAGCTTAAATATGTTTTTGCTTTTCTATTGGTATGTCATTGAAAACTCCTGTGCCAGATTCCAATAAAGAGCACCATGCACAAAGCCAGCTACTAATTTTGCAACAGGTAGCACTTATACTTAATCCCTTATGTATCTTAAAACTTAGTAATCATCTTGTTATATAATTTGTTTTGAAGGGGGTTGTGACTTAGGTCGAGAAGATTTATTTATTTTTTTCAGTTTGCAGAAGATAGAAGCTTGATTATAATGGGTTAGGTTGCCTTAATGGCAGTCATTCTTTTTATGTATATCCATCATGATTTAGAATGCATGGCTAAAAGCAATATTTGACTGGGGGTATCAAGAATTGCAATCCAAAATATTTGGAGAGTGCTGAAATAATTTCTTGGTAGGACAGCAAAATTTCTGTCTCTCCATGTTTATGATTTATCACAGCACCTTAGAGAATTACTTTATATATTACTGACTTTCTACCCCAGTCTAACAATATTTATGCAGAAGTGAGTTCATGAGAAAAGTTCCCATCAGGTGTGTCTGGGATAATGTTACTCAGTTGTTTCTCATCATCTCTATATGGCCAACCAAATACAATTAAGGGATATGGGAATGTACTCAATTTATTAGAGTTCCCAATTCATTACAATTATTCATTCAGTACAAAAACCATGACTGGCTTCTCATCATATTATATTAGGAATAATAGCCTGGTTTCCAAAATCTATGAAATTAATGTTCTCTCCAGATGAGTTAGATTATCAGAGTTTGATGAAGGTGGGAAGTGTAGTCCTATTCAATCATCTAAAATATGTCTTATGAATGTTCTTTCATTATCTCCTGGCACTCGGTCTTACCTGTTCAAACATGAATTATCCTAGATTACTTCTCAAAGCAAGAGCAAGAGCAGTCAACACTGCTGTGTGTTAGCTTTAAATTATGCTGTTGTGGTAAATTGTTAACTTTGCCTATTGTAAGCAACTGTTGACAGAAACTGGAGACAAAAAAAAAATAGTCATTGATATGGTCAGTTATTAGCACTGTGCTTCCCAAAGGCAAAACTACCTAAATTTGACACATAGAGGCTGTCTGGAATTAGATTTAATTCTTTCTCAATACCATAATTATCTGTGCAGATTGTTCAGAGTGCCTTAAGTGAAGATTATTCTTTGAGCCTATAGGTCAAGAAAATACTTAAAATATTTGAGTACTGATATTCTACTTTGATATAGCCATATTTTAAACAAACATATTTGAACCAAACTACTTATAACTTTGTTCCTATTCTTGAGGCTCATTGCAGCAGTTAACAATTAAAAAAAATAATCTCCAGAGCTCTTGCTAATCCTTGTACTTGCAATTATGAGAATAGTATCAAGTCATTGTTTATTACCGCCATAATACCAGGTACAGAATAATAGTGTTTTTTTTTCATAACATTCCATGAGTAAAACACCACACAAAAATACCCTCTCTTGATGTAATAAAAATGTTGCCCTTTTCTGTAAAGAGAGTACTGTAGATTGATGGATTAGGTATGCTAGTAAAAATGTAGGCTAGTACTCTTTCTGTTCACTAATAAATATTTAACGTTGGATATATGTACTTTGAATTTATACATATGACTGCTTTGTTTATATTTCTGAAATTTTAGGTTATGTAATAATTTTGGTGATAAGAGCCTTTTGTTGAAATTAACAAAAAAAATAGTTGTAATTTGGTTGGCCAATTAACATTACAAAAATAATAAAAACAACAATTGCAATATAAATAAATGAGGGAGCAATATATAATCTGCAAACATTTTAAGATACAAGCACTTTCATCAGTGATGTATTTTCTGATTATCTGAAGTGGGGTAGGAGGCAATGCACTTCTATCCTGCCCTTTTTTTCAAGCAGCCAGGCATTATTATTGTAGATTAGACATAATGACTTGCCTAAAGCTACTGAGTAAATCTTTATGGCTCACTGAGTATTTAAAATCATGTTTCTCTTCCAAAGTGAATGCTTCAGTTGCTATAAAACTTATCTTACCATGTAAGTCTATTAGAAAAGGATATAGTAGCAGTATTAGAAATAGCTAGAAGTACAGGAAATGTCTATAGAAAAGGTAAATAACTATGTCAAAGATAGTATAGTTGTGGTGCTTAATCTATACAGGTTAGAGATTTAGCTTGTATAGAATATGGAATCAGCATGAGAAAATAAAAAAAATTGCTGAGTATGAGTAAACGTTAACTATTCCAAACTTTTGCTTTCCAGAATTAATCTTTCTAAAGTGATTAATGTAAGAATAAAAGTGAGGAAGAAACTATGCATGCTCTGCAACAAAGATAGAACATAAGTATAATAAATTAGTATTAGTTAATGAGCTCGCTTAACCTCTCAGTGCTAGCATTAGCTTTGTACGCTGAGAGTTGGCATCACATAGATTATTACTTATGCATTTTTTTTATCCCAGCTCTATTGCTAATCAATTTTGTTAGATGATCTGAAGTTCTATTATCATATGAGATAAAAAGGGTCATATCTGTATGCATTTTCTGTAAACCGTATAATTCTTTAAATCTCTTATCACGCTCTCCTTCCTGAATAATATTTTTTTCTAATCCCAGCAAATGTCAGCCTACAGCCTAATTTACCCAACCTAGTGCGGGCTAGGTATTTTCAGCTACCTTTTATCATATCCTCTGATGTCTGAGCTATAAGCTGTACTTTTTTGACTCTACTACCTAATATTTTAAATAGAGTAACCAGAACTGAACAAATAGTTGGCTCAAATATAGCTAAAAGATATACTGGCTTTTCAAACTGGGTTATCAGATTTTGCCCTAATTAGCTCACATAGTAATAACCATGTTGAATATTCAAATTACCTCCTGTGTAATATCTTGGCTACGGAGAAGGATTTGTTGATTTACAAAATTAGTTGCATGGGGGACATAACCAACACAGACTTATCAGAATGCCACCTGACATCATCACTGTCCCTCTCTCCTGTATGATATTCTCTATTTTCTCTGCTTAATTTTATCCTTTTTTCTGAGCAAATGGCCATGTTTCCAACCAAAGTTCTAGGCTTCAGTTGCCTATTATTTCATTTTCTGAAAAAGCTAATGGGATACAAAACATTTCTGGGAATAAAATTAATGATGGAGGCCAGAACTTAGATTTGTAGCCTTTCTTTTTAATTTTTAAAGTTTTTTTTTCCAATGTGAAAAAAAGGTTGGGGTAGATGCCACTGAGAATAGCATCTAAAAATATATCAGCACCATCTACTGCCTGAGTTAAATAAATTTAACTGAGTTAAATGAGCTTTTTAGTTTTTAGTACTATATTAAATCTCACCAACACTTCTTGTGTCCTGTGTATTACATCTCATTATAAAGGAACTTATCTATCCCTGAAGACATTGACTCTCACGAGGTAGCAGCACCTGGCTGACCTTGTCTGAGGCACCACGGGTTCCTACTTGGATGGGGGACTAATCAGGGAGTATAACAAAGTTGTGGGCCAACCTAGAAAAGCAAGAAACATCATGAAGTGGACCATGGCAAGCCATTTTCATTGTTTTACAAAGGAAACTGCATGACTGTGTCCATGAAGTTACTTTGGGATTGAGCTCAGTTTGAAAAAAAACTATTTTTAATGATATTTTAAGGAAAATGCAGTTGAGATTACTCTGAATGGTGTTCAGTAGCGTGCAGTGTATTTGTGGATTGAATGGTTCAAGTTGCTGCGTGATTTTGTTTCCCCTGAGATGACTTTGTAAATAAACAATGACAGTGTTGAAGAACTTACTTCCTTATTCCTGTTCAAAAAGTAAATAGAATAAGCAGAGTTATTCACACTTGCCACAATTTTCCCTGCACCTTCAATTCTTTTTTTCTTTTTCTTTTAACTACTAGGTTTTCTTACATGGTTCATTTAAAAAAAGCCACTTGATTTACTAAAGAAATTAAACTAGATGGATGTGGTCGCAGATTTGTTTCCTTGTCGTCAAATAGAAAATTGATGATGGCTTTATAAGAGTAAAACCAATACTATGGACTTAAAATACCACCTATCTTGTCACTAGCTTATATTTCAAAGTAGAAAAACTGCACATTTTTATAGCGGCAGTGAAGTGTCTGTTCTTATAGATGTAGTTAAATATTGTATGTCTGCTCTTTTCCCCCTTTTTTTGCAGCATTCAGGGAAAAGTCTTATCTTTATTTATTTAATTCCATTTCATGTTGCTGTGCATGAATGAATAAAGTTGTAGAGGGTGTTTATTTTAACAACCTTTTTAAATATGTTTTATTGGTTTTTTTACAATAACAATATTTAGTACTTGGTAAACAATGTGTTGTCTGGGTTTATATACTTAACAACAATCAATAACAGTTAATTTCTATGATTTCATAATCAACATACTAACTAGAAATACCTTTCCTTGATCTTCTCTTCTTCCAATAATATTCTCCTTTTACCAACATTGAGCAAATATAGTTCTTAGTATTTTCAATACATATAAAGTTGAATATAAAGATTTTTCTAATATTTATATGAATAACAATAGCATCAATATGTAGCGTCTTTTCAAATCAGTTTATTTTACAATTGCATTTGCAAAAAAATCACCTTATGTAAATCGCTATAGTCCTATTTTCAGAATTCTTATTTAAGCTTAATTTTCCCTCAGTAATCAAAACATTTCTTGTCAATTATAATTTTCTCAAAATTGATTATATTTAAATATGCAAAACATTTCATACATTTAAATCATCCCAGTATTTTACATTTCCCGTATCATAAAAAAATACTATACTAGTAAATCACAAGCATTTTAACAATCTGACTATATCTCTATGATCATAAGAAACCACTGCAAATTGTATGGGTAATAATCACCCACCTTTACATCTAAAGTTCTGCAAGCTAGATGGCAAAAGCAATATGCTTAGTGATGCAGCAAAATTCTTCTAATATGAGGCATGATGTACCTCTTAAAAACTTGGCTTTAACATTATTTTGTCTGGCCAGAGAATGGGTATGCTGACAAATACACATTCAATCCTATTTCTGGAATAAAAGCTTTTAGAAATGAAAATTTTTAGTCTATTATGTGGTAACTAAACCATACCAAGTACTGATTATATTATATCTAGATAGACACCAGAGTATCATCACTGGTTTGGATATTTTGTTATTTTTAACCTTCCTCTCTTGGAAACTAAGGGAATGTGTATGGATTTCCACATATTCATTTTTTAAAACAATTTTATTAAAACGTTTAAAAATAAAGACAAAAACCAATGCAAACTAGTATAAGGAAGAAAACAAAAAAGGAAGAAATCAAAAGAAAGCTAAAAGTGCAAGAAAGAAAGCAAACAGACACAAAAAAATAGAAAAGAAAAAAGATACAAAGAAGTAGCTTTCAATCTTCTTTTTAGCAACTATACAATTATAAATTTACCTCTTTCTGTAAAGTTGCATCATGACACTCTTCTTTCTATAATCTATTCTGTCTAATCGTTAAAATCATAAATCATAAGATAATCTTTTTCTGTTTTACATAAAAAGTCCACAAGGGGCTTCCAATCAGCAATAAATGTGGGTACTGTGATTTTTCTGAACAAAGAAGTCAATTTGGCCATCTCACCAAGTTCTACCATTTTCACCAAGCATTCCTCCTTATAGGTATTGCTGAATCTTTTCATCTCATATTCAGAATAATTATTTGGAATAGGTTAAGCGTTCTAAAAACTGTTTACAGGTCAAATAGCTTTCTTGATGTTAACACCTGTTTGTTTCCTATTTTGGTATTATTATGAATTCAAAGAGAATTTGATATTGGAGGCACAGATCTAGTTTCATTCCAGTTTGGAAGTGTCATAAAAGATTCCTGACTAGGCTACATGAACTATGTAGATTCTAATTGCCTTCTCTTAGAAAAATCGCTTCTGATGGGGAAAAGCTAGAAAATTTCCACATAAACAAGATTAAAGGAAGATTCTCAGATCCAGTGAAATTCAGGGTGAAAACAAGATAACACTGAAAATGCTTAATTGTAATTTTCTCAGAAATTGTTTTTTGCCTACATTGACTCAGTTCAAAAGTCAAAGTACCTCTGGCCCCCTCTTTAATATTCTTTCAGCCATGTGGAAAGATAAGCTGGTTGGATGGTTTTAAAATGGGAAATGAAGCTCAGTGGGGACAGATGAAATAGATTAGACCACAGAATAGGAACATAGGATCCTTGCTAATCAGGATAAGTGGACTGCATAATCCTGGTTGTGTGGGCTGAAATGTACTGTTTGTATTCCTAGATTCTTAGCAAATGTTATCATTAACTGAGGCAAATGTTGCAGTATTTTCCATTACACCATAAAAGCACTCTCTGTTTCCTTGGTATACATAGAGGAAGAAGTTTGCAGGTTTGTTTCTGGTATAGGCTGTAGCTGGATCAAGCTCTTCTTGGAATTTCTTTGTATGAACCATCTCACTGTTTACATAACATTAATGCTGGGCGCCACCCAAAGACGCTGGACTTTTCTTCCTTTATTTTCCTGTTGCCCTTTGTGGAAGAATGCACACGTTATGAAATTATTTTCTTCAGAAGAAAATTAATTTAATATCAGGATAAAACTCTAGAACTCAACTCTACAAATTACAAAAATCTAAGTAGATTTATATTACCTCTAATATCTTTTGAATATGATGTAGCAGAGTAAGAGAGTCAGAAAAAGAAGCTGAGATCTAACATACAGGTTTTTTGGAGACTGTATTGATACTTTCCCTCTTGATCCATTTTAGTTGGCTTTGTATCAGTAAAATGAGAAACGGACTTCTGTACAGTGCAGTTAAGTTTGGTACCCTACCCAAAAGGAAATTTTGCTGGACACCATCCTTTTCAAGTAGGTGTCCCCCATAGGTGTATTACAGCAGCAGTTCCTCAAATTCCCACCAAACATTTGGAATCCAACAGCTTGAGGAAGGATATTCCAGACTTCCTTAACTGTTTTTATAGGAAATTGAAAGTTATTAACACAGTTTAAGATTCTCAAAGTTTCAACACAGTTGAATACAAGTGTTTCAACTTTTTCCTGTGATTGTAAAAGTTTTATCTTGTGTGAACAAATTTCCCTACAATTGATTTGAATATATAGCCAAATTGATTGCTACAGTTAATCTACACTGGTCAGAAAACTGGATAAGAAAATTCATATCATTCAATTCTTTTGATGTTGGGTTGCTAATTGGAAAAGTCACCAATGATATTTGGATAATGTATGGGAATATCCCTTTCCAGGATTAATTAGGACTAATAGTTGACTGAACCTCTCCCAGGCTCCACCTAACTAAAGCTTAGCATATTGGAGACACCCATGTGATTAAACATTAAATATTAATTAAATATTATAGCTGTTAACAATTAAACACATGCGTTTGGCAATAGAAAACTATTGTGTAAATATTAAAAGTACCCAACACACAAAACAATCGACTCTGCAATTAGACATGGTGCTAAAAGCTTACACAGTCATTTCAGTTTTGAAACCATGGGGAACTCAAAGTAGTAATAGAAATACTTATTGCTGGCACATGGTTATTTCTTCTCATGCACACCTAAATGCATATGTACATACACACACACACAGAGAGAGAGAGAGAGAGAGAGATCATTTTATGCTTTAGGAATGTGAAGTGTAAACAAATACAAACAGGTTCTAAATAGAAAACACAATCCACTAAAATCATTAGCATTGCATCACTATGCATATACTTGGATGACTTGTCAATACTAGCACAGAAGCATGCAAGTTAAGATTGAAGCACCATTTAAAGTACTAATGGGGTTCCAAAAAATTTAGTAAAAATAAAAATCTCCAAACTTGTCCCTCCTGGTCATTGTCATATTTCAAAAGCCCGTATCTGGGAACATGAGCAAGTTGCAATGTCTGAACTCATAGGGGCTGATAAACCTTACCATTGGCATTAGCCACTGAGACCCAGCAGAGATAGATAATCTTCACATGCCTGTTTTAAATCAAACCTGGTTCTGAGACTTCACTGACGTAATCAAAAAATAAAAGTATGATAAACAACTCTGTTCATATAACATTACCTAGATTTCCATATGATCCTGTAAATTGATATCAGAATAATCTTACATAAATGTTAGTAATTTAGCTGACTTTGTGATTAGTTGAAGGCCATATAATCTGATTATCTGCACTATCCTTAGATTAGCTGGATAAATATAATTCTGGTACACAACTAAAATAAACTTCTCACGGTATTGCTAGTACCAGCATAAGCAATCATGGATGACAGAAAAAATAGATGTAGTCTTGTATAGACCTTAGATGATTCATCCCTTCTGGCTATTGATATGTTAGCAAAGATATTCAAAAAAGTGCTCTTAATTTAAAATTAAATCTCTAAAATAAAAAAAGTTATAGTAGATATCTCAATAGATAAAATTATACTAGCATTCATTGTCCTGTATCTGATTATTAATCTTGTACTGGATAAAACAGCACCTACCAAAGAGCCAAGTTCTCCTTTTATCATCAAATTGTAAGTTATTGTGTTGTCTGTTTCAGCCTATGTGTGTTTTAAATGATATTTATAGTTGATCAAACAGACATTTGAGCAAATGTAAACCCTGTATTAATTACAAATAGGATCAAACATATTTCATATATGTGCTTGCAAATGCAGTATCTGATTGGATTTGGTTCTGTTTGGTGCAATATTTATTTTGAGTAATTAACACGTGAGCGAGCGTTCCTACTATTAGTTTGGCCATCTATCCTTGAGCCAAAAAAAAGGTAAATTCCCCCACACTCTAATAAGACACAAATGAGGTGTCAAAATTAACTGTCTGGTACTCTTGGCATTCACTTCCTAAGAAATTAAACATGAACTTTATTTATTTGAATCAAATAATTAAACACGAACCATTATTTATTTGTTACCCAATAACGCACATGTCTGGCTAGTATTAGGGGAGCTACTTCCTTTGAACTTCTGCCCCTTTCCAACGTGTCTAAGCACCTGGATTTATCTACAAAACTTCTTATGTTCCCCTAATTACGAAATGGCACAATGGGAGTATCTACAGTTTTCTGAGATTCATTTTTACGGTGTAAAAGGAAGAGAAAATTAGTTGCCCAATACCACAGGTATTGCATAAGCCTGTTTGGAGGTGCATTTATTTGGAACAAGTGCTGACTGTGCCTTGCTGCTTTGTGCTCGACAAGCCTGAACTGGAAGGAAGAAAAGAACAAGAAGTACCTGTTCCACCTTTCCCAAATACTGCTTCGGGAATTGGTTCCCCCATGGGAAACTTGACAGATTTCAGTGCAGCACCAGGGAGTCAAGCAGAAGGGGACTTGATATTTCCAGCCGCTACACCAGTGTTTCTCAACTTGGCAACATTAAGCTGTGTGGACTTCAACATCCAGAGCATTCCCAATGCTGGCTGGGGAACTCTACGAGTTGAAGTCCATACAGTTTAAAGTTGTGAAACATTGAGAAACACTGGTGTGGTGGCTGGAAATATCAACAAGTCACCTTCATCTACACAGATGAAGCATTTCAAGTTTGCATTTACAGCTGTGTCTTTCAGGCATGCTGTTTGAGTCCCCCTTTAAATATGACTGTTGGTTGCAAGTAGAAGAGAAGTGTTTGGCGACCATATGAGAGTGCCTTCATATATTCCAACCACCCCTGCTTAAAATTATTTGTAACCCTGTGCTGGGGTCAAAGGTCAAAAAGTTTAGGATTTCGTGGGAACATGCGCTTGTTTGGACTTGGTTCAGAAGCTTAGGTTACCCGATTGACAGGTAGCAATTAGAGAGTAATAGCTTGCCAAACTGGAATGTCGTAGCTGAGGCCCATTGCTGAAGATCTGGTTTACCTGTTCAACAGGTGTGGGCTGTAGGGCTAAGATAAGTATGTGCTCCCACAGCATTCCAAAGAATCAATTTTCCCTTTAAAAGACATTGTCATGACTGCAGGGCATAAAAGGGCTGGGTTGAGCCCCTCTGGAAGGTAGTTGGCTATTTGCACAGCAAAGAAACAAAATAAATAGTGGCAGAGGAGATAAGGAAAGGAGATGGAGGGAAGAACAAGGCTCTTGTTTCTCCTTTCTGTTTTCCTACTGGTTTGGTAAGAAGTATAACTTTGGTTAGTAAATAAATGGAATGAATGGTTGTGTCTTGGAGTGTTTTAATGTACAATACAAGCCTTCCCCAGATGAATGCTCTCCAAATGTATTTGCCTGCAATATCCATTATCTACAGTAGACCTGGGGACAGTGGGAATTGTAGCCCAGTATATTAGTGACAGTTATAATGTGCTCCAGATTTCTTTGACACTTTTCTTTTTACCTTCTCTCATGGATCTGTGATCATCATTCCAAATGGAGTTTTGTATGGGTGCTGTATATTTTTGACGTGTAGACGTATTTATAAACCTTAAGAAAATGTTTCTAATTCAGCATTGTAAAGAAAATATTTGCTTGAAAGGTCCATTCTGTAATCAGTTTATGAAAACTGAAAAATCATTCAGACATTAGAGCAGATAGTTCCTTTTTCATTTTATGTTTACACTATTCCTATAAAGTATGTTGTTATATCATCTACTTAGTCCAGTGTTTTTCAAACTTGACAACCTTAAGATATGTGGACTTCAACTCCTGAATTCCCAGCCAATCCAAATAGTTTCCAAATTGTCAAATTTGAAAAACACTGATGTAGTCCAATCTCTGCATGGAGATTTAACCCAAGTGTCTAATCTAGCCTTTTAGCCCCTATATCAGATTACTCTCTATAGTGATATTTGAAAGATCTTGTCAGTATTTAATATGTTACATATTTCTTTGCTACGATTTTCTCAAATTTAAATATTAAAAGAAACAAACATGGCATCTGAAATCTGAATGCAGATGTTGCAGTTGGGACCAGATTTTTATTAATTATTGAATCAATATAGTAATAGTTATTGCAGATTGTTGAACTAATACAGCGAGTTCCAGGTTCAATTTCAACTATGGAAGTGACTTGGGGTCAGGAAATTATTTAGTGCCCAGGATTGTTGTCATGGAAAAAAATAGAGGAGGAAGTCTGCTATGTATGCTACCTTAAGGGAAAAGATGTGATATAAATTTAGCACTATTAAAATAAATACATTTTAATCATGCGCAAAGATAGATCTGGGGTGTACCTTGAGATAGTAGCTGAAATAGAGGAAAAAGCACCACTATAGGGTCACACACATCATACTAAGCTGCACTGTAGTTTACTTGGTTTTGTATGTTGTGCAAAACTAACCATTGTGGTTTAAAAGGAGGATTCATAGCTTAGCCTGATGGGCTCAAACAGCCAATTATAGCTTAGTCAACAAATTGTGGTCAAGAAACCCAAGGCTTTGTGTAACACACTGACAGGTCAACAGATATAAACAAGCTGAACAAATGAATTTTGGTCTTCTTCTACAATATAGAGATGTCCTCAACTTGCCTTCTGGAAAACTTTTTCCTGAACTGATTAGTTAACTATTGAGTTGGTTCAAGCAATCCTGTCAGCATGGAAGAGCCCTTGTTCCTTATGCATTCTTAGCATATATTTCTAATAGTTCAGATATTCCTGAGCACCTTCTCATTTTGCACAAGGATGACTTTATCTTACCTTGTTGGTTTACCTATTCTTCTTATAGATTACTGCAGTCCAAATAAATATCCCATGTTCCTTGGAAAATTTTGGAGTGATGGAAACGTAGTTTTAAAAGGCATCCAATTTAAAAAAGCCTAAGGAGATTCTATTCCCACCTCCAGGTTTCCTTAATAATAATAATTACACCTGCAAGCCATTGACAAATGGGAGATTTCATTGAATAAACAGCATACATGACCACTTGGAATGAAGCTCCCAGGAATTCAATGCAGGGAAACCTCCAATTATATGTGTGTAAAATTGCAGCCTAACTCCGGGCCCGGATTCAACTATTTTGAAATGAAGATACATCCTGTAGTTTTTAAAGTATGTTTTAGAAGTGAAATGAACCACTGATGCATTTAATATGGCCTCTCTAGATCCACTTGAAACTTGGCTTCACATTTTAATTGCATTAGAAAAAACTATCAGAGCAATTATTTGCTTTGCATTGCTAGAGTGCCTGGAAAAGAGAGAAAGCTTTAATATATCTTCTAAAATGCTTTCAGATGCTGCATTATAAACAAACCTTATTCTTGGGGTTCCGTTTCAAAATGTATACATATTCACTCATGTACAAAGATCATATATATACAGGTCTTCAATGTATGACCACATTGGGGCAGTTGCTAAACAATGTGAGTTTTGTAATCTTCTACTTTTTATGTTTTAAATTCTTTTTAAAATGTTCCATCAATGTGAAATCAGTAAAAACATAGATATAGTTTTCATGTAGCGATCACAATTGGCACCAACTCAGTCATTAAGCAAAGTAGCCACTTTCACTAATTGAAATCCTAACTTTGCCTATGATCTTACTTTCTTTTATAGATCAGTGAAGATCATACATGTGAGGACTGGTCATAAAGTTATTTTTTTTTTCATCACTATTATTACCTGTGGTTTAAATGTTTCAGCTAAGGAAAGCAGTGAACGACACAACTACCGTATTTCTGCTCTCAACAATGATATTGGAGAAATTTGCTTCAAGTTCAACAGATTTGCTTAAACAGACTGGAGCATCAGGCCAAGTTAATTAGACCTGGTTTGCATGATATCTCAGTCATAGCATGATTAAATAGAGTATCTTAATCACAATTTTTATCCATGTTTGCAGAGGTCATCCGAACCCAGACAGAGGGATTATCTCTTCTATTTAACCTCTAGACATGGAGGTAAAAGTAAGACGAAGTTTGTGATTCTTTCATTTTTCATCCCCCATAAAATTCTCCTTCCCATTGAACAAGATTCCTGATGGTGAAATAAGAATATGGGATGGAGGAAAACACAGCCTTCTCCCATTCTTCACCGTAACCCTGATCCAGGTCGGCATGCACCCAACAATATGTCCAAGGTTATATTTGGCCTCTCCTGTTGGAGAATTGTATATTTATGAGACAAATTCCTTAGACACAGAGGTCCTAATCTGTCTTACCTCATTTCCATTGCCACTGTGTGAGAAGGTGAAAGATGTAGCTTACCACAAGGGTATTTTAGGTACTCCAAATACTGTTTATGCATTATTTAAATCCCCTCTTCCATAGCCTGAGCAATATAAAGCAGGCAAGCCTCAACTAATCTGATGAAATATCTCTGTTACAAAGAAAATTATGTGCTTGATTTTCCTTTTTATTTGTTTTCCAGAAATCAAACCATTTTCACCACAGCGCTCCTGTAATCGAAGTGATTTCAAGTGGATTTTAATTCCAGCACTTCAGGAAATAAAAAGACCCCCCCTGCCGTTTCTCACAAAAAGCAAAGACATGAGTCAAACTGTTTCCTATCAGCATTTTCTGCAGCTGCAGTTTAAGGAGCTAGTATTCATTTCAGAAACCAACTGCATCTACTCTTGGAGGATGAAACTCAGCTAATGTGAGGGGAGGGAAGAATTTTAAGCAGAGACTTGAATTTGGTCAAAGTTGCAGAAAAGCTCTATTTAGAACAGTGTTTCTCAACCTTAGGAAATTTAAGATATGTGGACTTCAACCCCCCCACCCACCCCGAATTCCCTCACTAGTATGGCTGGCTGGGGAATTCTGGGAGTTGAAGTCCACATGTCCTAAAGTTTCTACAGTTGAGAAACATTGCTTTAGAATCATGACTTAGGAAAATCAGTGGGAATAGAGTTCCGAACCTAATATTATCCTGCTCACAACAGGTAGAACTTAAAGGACCTGCTTCAGAGTTTGCACACTCTAAAATTTGTCACAATCATCTGTGATCCTAAATTCAAACCTTGCACTTTGAGATGCCTGCCTTTTAATTGTGTCTACCAGGCCTCCTTATTTTGTCTTGTAATGGATTTAATACAGACCGGTTGTCAGATGCGAAGGATCAGGTCCACATATGAAGATCCAGTTAAACTGATTTATTGCTAATAATGTATATGCACAGAAATCTTCTCAACTAATAGGCTAGATAAGAGTCAACAGAATTCAAGGGAGGTTGAACTTAGTTTACTTGTGGCTATGTAAGAATTCTAGGCTGATTCCTTTTTTGTAATGTCACCCTCAGGTTCTGCCATTCCTTCTCCTATACTGGGATAATGCATTTACTTACGAACGTTTGAAAAAGTTTTGAATAAAGTAATATAATAAAATAAACATAATGAAATAAAATGGCAGTTTTCCTGCCCTACTTGCCCAAGCATAAAATTAGGCAGTGAATATGCACCCTCACAACCACTGGTTCATTCCGTGAGTGGGGATGGTTAATGAGATATATGAGATTCATTTAGCCTAGTTTAACATGATGCATCAATTCTCAAGTGTAGCTTTGCCCATCTGGAAGATGCCTGAAAATAAAGCCAAAAACAAACAAAATCCACATGTCATGATGTTAACCAAATAGATGGCTTGTTGGCTACATATTCACATGGCAGGAGCCTGTGATTGATTCACCACCAAGACTAGGTAAGTGCAGTGGTTCATTGGGATTGGCCTGAGATATACAAGTCCCTCCAAATATTGTTGCAGTTGCTATACTTTTTTAACAAAAAGCTTCTCACAAAATAGATGCACTGCTGTAAGCAAAAATCCAAACAGCTGCATCCACCATCTTCATTTCCCAGAGGATGAGAAATCTGTGAGAATAAAATAGAAGGAGAGAAAGAGTTCAGCTACTTACCCACTGAGTAAGAAGAGATCCGAGACAAGACGTAAAAGGAAAATGAACATCCAGAAGTCCAGTATTCTTTTATGAATAGCAGGAGCAAGTAGGTCAATGCTGAGAAAAGCGAGTGGTGATTATCCTTCCAAGAAAGCAGCTTTCTCAGTGTCTACTCCACCATGACTGCACCATGGAACAAGGTTAACCTGTGAATGTGATGATCTATCTTATTTGTCTGAATGTGAAGATCTTTCCTCTATTGGCAAGCTGTCCTTTTAATTCTCCATGCTTCTGAAGGTAGTATCATCAGTAGAAAATGTTAGTGGTGGCTGGTTCATAGTTTCTTATTAGTGTTAATTTTGATAGGGACCTATACAGTATCTATAGGATGTGTTTGGATCAGTGTTGTCTCCTAATGATTGCCTGAAGGAATCCCTGCAATTATCTTGGCAAGATTTCAGAAGTGATTGACCATTGTCGCCTTCCTAGGGTTAAGAGAAAGTGACTGGCCCAAGTCATCCAGCTGGCTTTGGGCTTAAGGCAGGATTAGAAATCATGGTCTTTCAATTTCTAGCCTGGTGCCTTAACCACTGCATCAAACTGATTCTTATCTTCATAAATCTACCTGCTTATTAAGATTTACTTATCAAGCTTGGCTAGAGTTCTCTTTGCTAATGGAAGAGTGGTTTTGGTAAGTCTGTTTTCTCAGTGGCACATGAAAACTGTCCTGGTCCAAGAGATTCTTCTGCTGATCTGTATTTGTGTTACATATTTTACTTGCCATTTAATTACCTTGAATATATACGGCTAAGTTTGTAAGCCAATATGAAGCAATGTATAAATATTTCAAATAAAAATGTTCAAAATCTGCTTTTTGTTTACATTTCTTTTTAGCTATAGATTGTTTAGTTTGTCAATTCTTTTAATATAGATTAAGCTACTCTTTTAAAATATTAATCATATGTGTATAAAGTAAATAATATTTTAAAATTTTACACACACACGCACACATACCTCATTCTCATGTTTGGCTGAACAATTACCACTGATTACTGATGATTCTTACTTGCTATATGCATTTTAATGTATGGTTGTTTAGACACTTGTTATAAAAATTAGAAATCCACCCATGACTTGTTTAAGAAAATCTGTTAAGTTATATTAACTGGTGCTTTTAAAGATGTTAATTGAAAGACATTCTTCCATAGAGAAGGAATCTTTCAGCATGCTCTAACATGTAATCCACAATGACTAAAAGATACTCTAAGACAGGAACTTAACTTCACCCTCAAAAGCAATGCTAACACAGTAGAACAAGAGTGCAAAGAATGAGTACTGTTGATAAAATCTGCGTTCATTTCAAAGGATCTCTTTTTCATCTGGCTGTTTTTATTGTCTTAAAAGATACATTTATTCATCTCTTTCTTGGCCTGACTTATATTTAGCATCTTTGAGAAGATAAAACTCTTTGAGATGATATAGACAGACACCAGACAAGACAAGACAGGACCAGAAGACAACAATTGTTTGCTGTAGGACAAATTCAGTTGAAATAGTTTCAAAAGGATATTAGAGAAATTTATGAAGGGTATCAGTTGCTTACACATAGGCCTCAACTTATGACTGGTCGCTCAGCGACCATTTGAAGTTATAATGGACCCTGACAAAGAAACTGGGAACCTGTATTTGAAGTTCTAATGCTCACCCACCCCCCTTGGTCGCATGGCTGCATTTTGAGCATTCAACAACTAGCCTGTATTTATAAAATACAAGCAAATGTAATGAGATGCTCACTAAAATCTTTCTAAGAAGGACTCATAAAGGAGGGTATTCTCTTATTTGTACCCAGGGCTGCTATTGATTTTATGGACTTCCCAGTGTTGTTAGCTTTCAGCTCTGATACACTATAACTAGCATGGTCAAGAATCACAGGAATTACACTCCACTAACATCTCACATGTGGAAATTTAAAATCTGGTATACTGCTCTCCACAGCATTTCATTCAACTACTGGCCATAGAGTCTATTTACAAATTTGTGATATCTTCTTCGAAAGATCTAAATTAATGGCCTACCCTATGTTGGGACATGGAAAGCTAATAATATGTTGTATAAAAAAATACTGCCCATTTATTTTATGTTTGTGGCTTGTCCTCTTTACAAGATGTAATTTCTAGGGTTAAGTGATGGAGAAAGAAGAAAAAATCCCCACCTCATACTTGCTGATTTTACAAATCAGAGTCCCAAACTCTTTAAGTTTGCTATCTAAATAATCTCACCCATTTATTTTAAACCTTTTCACTCCATTTTTCAGCCAGAAAGTCTCCCAGAACAGTTTACAGATTAGCAACAAAATAAGACAGTCTGTAATTTTAGGATTACAGTCTAAAAAGCATGAAATAAAAGGAATACAGGACAGGAGGGAGGAGAAAGACCCAGTTCACGTACCCAATGTTTACAGTTCTTCTAAAGAAGAAGAAAACATGAAACTCCTGAGCACTGCATCCTGTGGCTACTCGGTCTCACCTAACTCAGTATATCTTAGACGTTTAAATTAAAAAATGAAAACCACCAGATTTCTGTTTCTAGGTCCTACACAGATCCGCAAACATACTTAGAAAATAAAAATGGTGCGAGTCTTCAACCCAATGCTTGCTTAGGAAATTGTTTAGTTGCTTATTAAAACAAGTAGTAAATAGCATGTATGCATGTTATAAACATTACAACCATACCTGCCTGCCTGGAAAGTTGAACCAAAAATAATACAATGCATTGATTTGCAAGCTAATTGAGAGGCCTACTTTATATGTTGTGATAAAGCAGAATACCAAGGAAGCTGTCATTTATGTGAAGTCTATTAAGCCCGAGAGATGAAATTGGATTTCCCAAAAAGTAAGCATTTAGAAGGCAACTCCTTGTTGCCTTCTACCATTTCCTAAAATTATGGTAGCAAAATACCGAGATACAGCACCATACCTTGCAAAAGTGTAGGCAATCTTGTTTTCAGTAGGATTGATCTCTCAATGGACATCTCTAGCATTGTCCTTTAAGTTTTGATATCATATTGCCTAAGTCCTCTGTATGTCAATCAATAACTCCTTTGAAATGTAAATGTTCTAGAATTATAATTTTTCAAACACAGTCTTATCAGACCTTGCCAATTTCTATTCATTGCTCAAGTTCATTCTCTTTTTAAGAATGAAGATTTTAGTAAACTATACAGAGCAGATGATTAACATAATCTAACATAGTTAAATTGTAAGGTATGCATTTATTATTTTTCAACAAAAGGCTACTATCTCAAAATAAACTAGAAATAAAAATAGAAAATGGAGACCTCATGAAACCATCTTGTTCCAAAGGAATGCAAGATATGAGAATAATAGCTAGAACATGTACCTTGCTGGGAGGGAGGCAGAGGAGAAGAAGAACCAGCCCTCCTACTGGCAGATTTTAACAGAATTCTTTGAAATGGCAGGAATAGTTCAAGAACAGTACAGTTGTGATTTAAAAATAAGTTGTAGGCAGCTTTTCAACAAAATCTCTAGAATGTAGAAGTCTCAAGTATTATTGTGCATATAAAGAAGTGATGTTCACCAAATTAGTTACTCATATATGTTATATAATGTACTTTTCCAAAATGTATTCAATTTACTCTTTGTAAGGAGTATCGGTATCACCATTTATACAAAAGATTCCAGGGGACTCTTTATAAAATATGCCAATAAATAAATAAATAAAACATATCAAACAGCACAAAATCAAACTTTTTATTTCACACCATAAACTTCTGATATTTCTGGAATAGTTGGGGAACCAATTGTATAATCTCTTAGATTAGGGATATGTAGATTTTTTTATATAGAATAGTGGCCTAACGTCAAACCTGTAAAGGACTCTTCAAAAAATGGGCAGAACCGATCAAAACAAAGCTCAAATTTAATTTCAATGTAAACAATTAAAATTAAATTCAGTAAATAAGGTTTCTTCTTACAGATTTAATGATTTTGACTTTTCTGCCTGTCTCATTCAAGTTACAGTTTGGTGACAACATTTGAAGAAACTCTGATAATCACATTTAAAAAGTTAATGTATGTCATCCTGAAACTTCCAGTGTTTCTTGACCTGAGCTCGTTCCCCAGCGAGGAATTCTAGGAGTTGAAATCCATCTCTCTTAAAAGTAGCCAAGGTTTAGAATCACTGCTATAGGCTTATGTTCTATATCTCTACTCACGTAAGTTCAACAAAAATAACTATTGCAAGGACAGGGAGGAGGATGAGCTTCTATTAAACTAACATTTTTGAATTTGTGGGGACTTTTTAAAGCTCAGCATCATAATAGGGCCACTCTGAGTCATTGCTGGCCTGCTAAACAGATTTAGGATGATCCCTGGAGGTTTATAGGCATTTTTGTATGCATATGCACGTTTATTTATGTTTAATATTTATACCAAAATAGTAAATTATACTAGTTCATAAAATAGTCAATGAAGCCTTGAGCTAATCAGAAGCAAAACTCAAAAAGACAGTCGATAGCAAGCAATTTGTGTGGATTATGAAATTATAGTTAATTTATTTTATAATGTATAAAAATTAATTTTAAGAAACTCTCTTGAAATGCTTTTTTGTTTACTTCTTGCTCCTCAACTTAATATATCAAAGTGGGGTCCTTTGAATCCCAACTAGCATCTTGGGCTTTTTATTGAAACCTTTTTGCCTCTCCCAGCTCCTATAATGAAATCCACTGTTGTCACTGTTCAAATATGAGTTAATCTTCCTTTGATTTTTCAAATGAAGGTGCTGATTTCAATCTCAACTGTAATGTAAATAAAAGTTAAAAGTGAGGATGCCCAGCCTAAGATTAGGGGTCAGTGATGGTTATCTTCTACTTGCCTCTGTTCTTATGCATCAAGAGGCAGAATAAAAGAACAGACTATTAAGTCTATGCCTTGGAGCAGATACCTTGTTATGTAAAACAATGATTAAAACAATTCTAATCTTTTAATAAATCTGAATACAAAGTGCCAGGATATGATATGTAAAAATGTAAATCCATTTAAAAAAATCCATAAAAAGCATAAAAGGAGGAACATACAGGCAAAATCCATTCATCATTCATTGCTTTTTTTTAAGGGATTATTTTCTTCCCAATTTATGAGTCTGGTTTCATTTTGTTTGGAAGTATTTATATGGTAATCCAATGTGTTCTCTTTCTTCAACTGAACACATTTTAAAAACCTAACTATTGGAGTAAGCAAAATCCAGGTAATAAGATACCCTCTAGATGATTTTGATTATAGTTCCCATGATTCTGGTCCATAGATTATCACGATTGGGGCTGTATTCTGAAACATCTGGAGGACTGTCCCTGGTATTAGGGTTCTATGCTACAGCTTCCCCATTTTAGTTACTTAAATATCTACTCACATCAGCTATTCAAAGTCAACATGATGACATCTGGAGAACAACTGCCTAGAAAAGGCTGTCTTCCTCTTTCAGTACTTCTTCTGGGGTCTTTGAATCGTGGTGGTGCAATGATTAGAATGAAGTATTGCAGGCTAAATCACTGCTCACTGCCAGGAGTTTGATCTGACAGGCTCAAGATTGACTCAGCCTTCTGTCCTTCTGAGTTCAGTAAAATGAGGACCCAGATTCTTGGGAGCAATATGCTGACTCTGTAAACTGCTTAGAGAGGGCTGTAAAGCACTATGAAGTGGTATATAAATTTAAATGCTATTGCTAAATACTATTGTCCCAAAGAATTACATACAGGAGAAAATAGGTGGTGGGATTCAGCCAATTTGCACCACTTCGGTATAACTGGTAGCTAATTTTTTGTTGCCCAGGCCCAGAATTGACTTCCGGAAGCA